GGAGGGGGGAGGGGGTGGTTCTTTGGTCTATTTAAATCATGAATCGCATGTCGTAGGTCAAATGGAGTTACACTGGAAAGCAAATAAAATTCAAAGTAAAAAGAAAAACTTCATTTTTTTTTTATTTTACTATACAAATATCTAAATTGAAATTTTGTTGTTATTTCATCTTCCTTTCGAGTTAAATATCCTTTGATTCGTTTCTCTTACGTTTAATATCCCCAACAATTAAACAACGTGTTAAACGATTACTATAGAAACTTATTTTTTTTATTATAATACACTTAAATATATTTGCGCATGAAAGAAAAGAAAAAATTAATTCGTATATTAATTTTTCCTCCTAAAACAAAAAAATGAACAACCGTAAAAATTGCAATCGTTACATCTTGTTTTGTTCTTAACAAATTATTTGTATAATTGTTATGGTTTCCAATCCCCCATATATCATAGAATAAACTCCCTAATAATGTGTTTAATGAACTTGATAATGATAAATGGGAAGAACCCCCTCCTACACAGAAAATAATTAATTCTTCATAGTCTTTGCAATCGAAAAAAGGATATCTAGCTAATGATCTCAATATCGATTAATCGAACCCATATAAATTTTCTAACCGATAACAAGGGTGGAGATACTAATGTAAGATTAATGAGAAAACAAACTTAGGTGTGACGGTTGACAATGTTGATTTGCCAAATTGAGATTTTCATTGTGGGGTATTATTGTCACGTGTCACGAACTAGGTTCGTTCCTTTTTTATTCTTTTTCGACAAAAAAAAAAAAGAGGTGTGGCAAATTAAACGTGATCTTCGCGTGACGGAACTGGATCACGAGTACTCTGAACAAAATTATATTTCGAATCTTTAAATGATTTTCATTAATAAATATCAAACTACCTCGTAATATTTATGAAATTTTTACGGGAGAATTATGAATTAAAAAAAAAAAAATTAAACGTGCTTTTTAATAATATTCAAGATCAAATAATATGTTTAATGTTAAATCATATTAATAATAATTGCAGGGATGTGAATTCGAGATGAACAATTTTTTGAAATATTAATTTGTAAAGTTTCAATTAAACCATTCCTCCCTTTATGATCTTTTTGTTTGAATAAAATCATATTATATATATATATAGGAACGTGTTCAAAAACTTTCTTTTATTTTGTAATAAAGTTCTTACATATATATATTATTGCAAAATAGGATTATTCTTAATTAAAAAAAATGTGTGAGTGTGATATAAGCATGAAAATTTGATTTCTAACTCGTATAGAATACGTTTGATTTATATAAAAAAAATATCTATATATATATATATGAATCTATAATAATTGTGATAATAATTTCAATGGAAAATTTCACACGCTAATAGATATTTGCATTCGTGTCGGATATCAGGTAATATCATTTAATTGGAACGGATCGTTGATGACTCTCTCTCGTGGAACTATGATTAAATTAATTATCAAAAGATCCTTTTACAATTGGTTGAAAATAATTAATCGTAACTGGTTATTAACGTGAAATTACTCGAACGGTTTGGTTTAATGTTTAATCGATGAAATTCTATTCCAGAATCAACAGGAAGAGAATTATCCATTATAGTGTTAGAGTGAGAGACAGAAAGAGAGAGAGAGAAAACGAGAGAAGAAGGATTGACGTTTACAAACGATATGGAAGTAAGAGTAAGTAATTGTTGATTAAATTACATTCCTTTAATATTAAGTAATATATTATTTTATAACCCTATATATATTATCGTGAACTTATGCGAAATATGGTTTGAATTATAAACACAAAAAATTAATTACATTAAAATAAATGTATTTTTTTGTTTTGCGATAGAGTTATTTTTTATGAAACAAATGTTGAAATAGATTTGTTTTCGCATTTAGTTACACGCGTATATGATATATTATAAAATTCTCGCAAACATATCGAATGAATTTTTTTTTTATTATTAGCTATCGATTATTCGAATGTGAAACGACAACGTAGATAATAACAAAAGGTACTCGAAAACAACAACAACAACAAAATAGAAATGAGAGAGAGAAAATGAGCATTGATTCGTTGAAAGAAGAAACAAAATAAATAGAGGAAAATAGTAATATATATATATATATATATGTGTTTTTTTACCGTTCTTGCTGGAGGCGAGGTTCTCTATTCGCATAAACGCGTAAAAGGAACATTTGTTTTTCTCCTCATTACATGGCCCTTTTGCTTATACTGTGCTACGATATATTATTTGCTTCGGAATGAGATAAAATGTATCGAGTGAGACATCAAAGTTATCAAAACGATAACAAGAACGTTCCCGGTAAAATATCTTACGGGGGATAAAAAAAAATTGAAGGGGCAAGAGAAAAAAGAAAAAAAAAAAAAAAATAGAGAGAGAAGAAAAAAAAATGGATAAATAAACCAACTGCTGCACTTCCTCTTATATGTTAACAGTTCGTTTTTAAAACGTATGGGAGAACAGGACTGTGTCTAAACTTTTTCAAACCCCCGTGGGCGATACAGCAATGTTATAAAATCTCATAAGAAAAAAAAGTGTGTTTTTATTTATAATTAAATTAATCCAAATTCTCACAATATACATTTATATTAAATTCTTTTTTATTTTTATCTTATATTAACAAAACAATCAAAGTATAATAAAATTCATATCTTTTTCTTTGTCAATTCTTTACGTTATTTTTAATTTTGTTTGTTTGTCTATTTGATTAATAAGAAAAAAGTGATATTGAATACTCTCTCTTCCCTCCCCCCCCCACCCTCCTCCTCACACCCCACACCCTTCTCTTTTTTTACGTTGCAAGTTTGCAAATCGATTAATACGATATACGATGATCACGTTGGCTGGCCTCGTAAAACCACCATCTATTTCGCAAGGGATCAAAATACCGGAAGTACGAGCCCGAGGATTTGATTTATAAATGCATTTTCAGAATTTTCCCCACCTCCTAATACCCGTCACCGGGCGGAAAACGAAATTAGTTTTATGGCTTTGCAAACATAACTATGCATAAATATTAACGCGATCGCGTATGTATGTATATATATATACATACGTGTATGCGTTTATGTTTGTATGGTAGAAAATGCTTGGCCCTGTGTATGAAATCGTTTGATAACTATAGTTTCTTTATTTTGTAAATATATATATATATATATACATACACACGTGCATTTACGTGCATAAACGTAAATGCATGTAATTATATGTAAAAAAAAAGAAAAAAAAAAGGAAAAAAGCTTTCATGTAATATATATTTATTACAATAATAAATCATTTTATTCTTTCAACATATTTTTTTTTTTAATAATCGGGAACGTCATTGCGTAATAATAATGCAATAGGTCAAGAAAGAAAATGACGCGCACAAGTTATCTGACAAGTTTATTTTAAGTGTGCGACCTAGAATAATCATCATCGTGTTAACTTCGTTTAACAGTAACCTAACGGAAACTGAATAAGGAAAATTGAGGGATGCTTTCATTGCGATTCATTTTTTCTTAAAGAAAGAACGATTTAAAAAGAAAGGAAGAAAGGGATATGAGAGAGGGTGGTGGTGGTGATGAGGGTGGTGGTGACTTAGAAGGAGGAATAAAAAAAGAAGGGAGAAGGAAGGAAAGAAAAAAAAGAGAAACTTAACATTAGGAAAGGGTCGCGTATTCATTTAAAAAATTCTTTTGACATTATATAAACCGGACACGTAGGCAGGCACACGTTCTTCTTCCTTAGCTCGTTTCATTTGAACGCGATGTGCATTTGCAACTTTTAGTATATATATGTGTGTGTGTGTATG